GTGTGTAGTGAGCCAGTGTGTAGTGAGCCAGTGTGTGTAGTGAGCCAGTGTGTGTAGTGAGCCAGTGTGTAGTGAGCCAGTGTGTGTCGTGAGCCAGTGTGTGTAGTGAGCCAGTGTAGTGAGCCAGTGTGTAGTGAGCCAGTGTGTAGTGAGCCAGTGTGTGTAGTGAGCCAGTGTGTGTAGTGAGCCAGTGTGTAGTGAGCCAGTGTGTGTAGTGAGCCAGTGTGTGTAGTGAGCAGTGTGTGTCGTGAGCCAGTGTGTAGTGAGCCAGTGTGTGTAGTGAGCCAGTGTGTAGTGAGCCAGTGTGTGTAGTGAGCCAGTGTGTAGTGAGCCAGTGTGTGTAGTGAGCCAGTGTGTGTAGTGAGCCAGTGTGTAGTGAGCCAGTGTGTGTAGTGAGCCAGTGTGTGTAGTGAGCCAGTGTGTAGTGAGCCAGTGTGTGTCGTGAGCCAGTGTGTAGTGAGCCAGTGTGTGTAGTGAGCCAGTGTGTAGTGAGCCAGTGTGTGTCGTGAGCCAGTGTGTAGTGAGCCAGTGTGTGTAGTGAGCCAGTGTGTAGTGAGCCAGTGTGTAGTGAGCCAGTGTGTGTAGTGAGCCAGTGTGTAGTGAGCCAGTGTGTAGTGAGCCAGTGTGTGTAGTGAGCCAGTGTGTAGTGAGCCAGTGTGTAGTGAGCCAGTGTGTGTAGTGAGCCAGTGTGTAGTGAGCCAGTGTGTGTAGTGAGCAGTGTGTGTAGTGAGCCAGTGTGTAGTGAGCCAGTGTGTGTAGTGAGCCAGTGTGTGTAGTGAGCCAGTGTGTGTCGTGAGCCAGTGTGTAGTGAGCCAGTGTGTGTCGTGAGCCAGTGTGTAGTGAGCCAGTGTGTGTAGTGAGCCAGTGTGTGTAGTGAGCCAGTGTGTAGTGAGCCAGTGTGTGTAGTGAGCCAGTGTGTGTAGTGAGCCAGTGTGTAGTGAGCCAGTGTGGTAGTGAGCCAGTGTGTGTAGTGAGCCAGTGTGTAGTGAGCCAGTGTGTGTCGTGAGCCAGTGTGTAGTGAGCCAGTGTGTGTAGTGAGCCAGTGTGTGTAGTGAGCCAGTGTGTGTAGTGAGCCAGTGTGTAGTGAGCCAGTGTGTGTAGTGAGCCAGTGTGTGTAGTGAGCCAGTGTGTAGTGAGCCAGTGTGTGTAGTGAGCCAGTGTGTGTAGTGAGCCAGTGTGTAGTGAGCCAGTGTGTGTAGTGAGCCAGTGTGTGTAGTGAGCCAGTGTGTAGTGAGCCAGTGTGTGTCGTGAGCCAGTGTGTAGTGAGCCAGTGTGTGTAGTGAGCCAGTGTGTGTAGTGAGCCAGTGTGTAGTGAGCCAGTGTGTGTAGTGAGCCAGTGTGTGTAGTGAGCCAGTGTGTGTAGTGAGCCAGTGTGTAGTGAGCCAGTGTGTGTCGTGAGCCAGTGTGTAGTGAGCCAGTGTGTGTAGTGAGCCAGTGTGTGTAGTGAGCCAGTGTGTAGTGAGCCAGTGTGTGTAGTGAGCCAGTGTGTGTAGTGAGCCAGTGTGTAGTGAGCCAGTGTGTGTAGTGAGCCAGTGTGTGTAGTGAGCCAGTGTGTAGTGAGCCAGTGTGTGTCGTGAGCCAGTGTGTAGTGAGCCAGTGTGTGTAGTGAGCCAGTGTGTGTAGTGAGCCAGTGTGTAGTGAGCCAGTGTGTGTCGTGAGCCAGTGTGTAGTGAGCCAGTGTGTGTAGTGAGCCAGTGGTGTAGTGAGCCAGTGTGTAGTGAGCCAGTGTGTGTAGTGAGCCAGTGTGTAGTGAGCCAGTGTGTAGTGAGCCAGTGTGTGTAGTGAGCCAGTGTGTGTAGTGAGCCAGTGTGTAGTGAGCCAGTGTGTGTCGTGAGCCAGTGTGTGTCGTGAGCCAGTGTGTGTAGTGAGCCAGTGTGTGTCGTGAGCCAGTGTGTGTAGTGAGCCAGTGTGTAGTGAGCCAGTATGTGTAGTGAGCCAGTGTGTGTAGTGAGCCAGGTGTGTAGTGAGCCAGTGTGTGTAGTGAGCCAGTGTTTAGTGAGCCAGTGTGTTAGTGAGCCAGTGTGTGTAGTGAGCCAGTGTGTGTAGTGAGCCAGTGTGTAGTGAGCCAGTGTGTGTAGTGAAGCCAGTGTGTGTAGTGAGCCAGTGTGTAGTGAGCCAGTGTGTGTCGTGAGCCAGTGTGTGTAGTGAGCCAGTGTGTAGTGAGCCAGTGTGTGTAGTGAGCCAGTGTGTGTAGTGAGCCAGTGTGTAGTGAGCCAGTGTGTGTAGTGAGCCAGTGTGTGTAGTGAGCCAGTGTGTAGTGAGCCAGTGTGTAGTGAGCCAGTGTGTAGTGAGCCAGTGTGTGTAGTGAGCCAGTGTGTAGTGAGCCAGTGTGTGTCGTGAGCCAGTGTGTGTAGTGAGCCAGTGTGTAGTGAGCCAGTGTGTAGTGAGCCAGTGTGTGTAGTGAGCAGTGTGTGTAGTGAGCCAGTGTGTTAGTGAGCCAGTGTGTGTAGTGAGCCAGTGTGTGTAGTGAGCCAGTGTGTGTCGTGAGCCAGTGTGTAGTGAGCCAGTGTGTGTCGTGAGCCAGTGTGTAGTGAGCCAGTGTTGTAGTGAGCCAGTGTGTGTAGTGAGCCAGTGTGTAGTGAGCCAGTGTGTGTAGTGAGCCAGTGTGTAGTGAGCCAGTGTGTAGTGAGCCAGTGTGTGTAGTGAGCCAGTGTGTGTAGTGAGCCAGTGTGTAGTGAGCCAGTGTGTGTAGTGAGCCAGTGTGTAGTGAGCAGTGTGTGTAGTGAGCCAGTGTGTGTAGTGAGCCAGTGTGTAGTGAGCCAGTGTGTGTAGTGAGCCAGTGTGTAGTGAGCCAGTGTGTGTAGTGAGCCAGTGTGTAGTGAGCCAGTGTGTAGTGAGCCAGTGTGTAGTGAGCCAGTGTGTGTAGTGAGCCAGTGTGTAGTGAGCCAGTGTGTGTCGTGAGCCAGTGTGTAGTGAGCCAGTGTGTGTAGTGAGCCAGTGTGTAGTGAGCCAGTGTGTAGTGAGCCAGTGTGTGTAGTGAGCCAGTGTGTAGTGAGCAGTGTGTAGTGAGCCCAGTGTGTGTAGTGAGCCAGTGTGTAGTGAGCCAGTGTGTAGTGAGCCAGTGTGTGTAGTGAGCCAGTGTTGTCAGTGTGTAGTGAGCCAGTGTGTAGTGAGCCAGTGTGTGTAGTGAGCCAGTGTCTAGTGAGCCAGTGTGTGTAGTGAGCCAGTGTGCTGTAGTGAGCCAGTGTGTAGTGAGCCAGTGTGTAGTGAGCCAGTGTGTGGTGAGCAGTGTGTAGTGAGCAGTGTGTAGTGAGCCAGTGTGTAGGTGAGCCAGTGTGTAGTGAGCCAGTGTGTGTAGTGAGCCAGTGTGTAGTGAGCCAGTGTGTGTCGTGAGCCAGTGTGTAGTGAGCCAGTGTGTGTAGTGAGCCAGTGTGTAGTGAGCCAGTGTGTAGTGAGCCAGTGTGTGTAGTGAGCCAGTGTGTAGTGAGCCAGTGTGTAGTGAGCCAGTGTGTGTAGTGAGCCAGTGTGTAGTGAGCCAGTGTGTGTAGTGAGCCAGTGTGTAGTGAGCCAGTGTGTAGTGAGCCAGTGTGTAGTGAGCCAGTGTGTAGTGAGCAGTGTGTACGTGAGCCAGTGTGTGTAGTGAGCCAGTGTGTAGTGAGCAGTGTGTGTCGTGAGCCAGTGTGTAGTGAGCCAGTGTGTCATGAGCCAGTGTGTAGTGAGCCAGTGTGTGTAGTGAGCCAGTGTGTAGTGAGCCAGTGTGTAGTGAGCCAGTGTGTGTAGTGAGCCAGTGTGTAGTGAGCCAGTGTGTAGTGAGCCAGTGTGTGTAGTGAGCCAGTGTGTAGTGAGCCAGTGTGTAGTGAGCCAGTGTGTAGTGAGCCAGTGTGTAGTGAGCCAGTGTGTAGTGAGCCAGTGTGTAGTGAGCCAGTGTGTGAACGTGAGCCAGTGTGTAGTGAGCCAGTGTGTGTAGTGAGCCAGTGTGTAGTGAGCCAGTGTGTAGTGAGCAGTGTGTGGTGAGCCAGTGTGTAGTGAGCCAGTGTGTAGTGAGCCAGTGTGTAGTGAGCCAGTGTGTAGTGAGCCAGTGTGTAGTGAGCAGTGTGTGTCGTGAGCCAGTGTGTAGTGAGCCAGTGTGTGTAGTGAGCCAGTGTGTAGTGAGCCAGTGTGTGGTGAGCCAGTGTGTGTAGTGAGCCAGTGTGTGGTGAGCCAGTGTGTAGTGAGCCAGTGTGTAGTGAGCCAGTGTGTAGTGAGCCAGTGTGTAGTGAGCCAGCCTGTGGCAGAGCATTGCTTCAGACACACACACACCCGTTCACACTGTCAGGAGTGTATTCGGAGAGAGGAGCTTGAGTAAATCTCCGGCCATCTGCTTTAACAGCTCGGTCACTTTGGATTGAGTGGCAAATCCACAGCACTGCGTCACTGTCAGCCTGTCCTTCTCTGCAACTCTCTCTCTTCCCTCTGTTTAACTCATTCACCAGCAAATAAGGAAAAGTGTCTCAACACAAAGATGTCATTATTATGTGATAAAGCACTCGACATCTGTATTTCCACATGCACGTGCATTTGATTGGCCTACGTGTGTCTTAAAACTTGATTCTTGAACGCGTGTGATAAGCGTTCGATCACGTGACCTGCCGTCTCTGGATGAGAAGGAGAGCCGCTCAAGGTTAAACAGGAGGGGGCGGGGCCGAGGATCACGTGACTCCTGTGGGGACCGGTGAATGGCTGACGGAGCAAGAGATAAGAGACTGATACGATATCACTTCATCAAAAAAGAGAGAAAAAAATTCACTGATGTAAATTAACTATAAACACACCGTATTGCATTTCTCATAGACAGAAATTAATCTCTGAAAATGCATACACACACAAAAAATCATGACTACACTAGTAGATTAGGTCGCACGGGAATGGGAGTATTTAGTAAAAGTTAGACGAGCTGAACAGTCCTGATGATAAAAATAGAAGCAGCCTGATTTTATTAATGCTGTGTAAAATTCACACATGACGTTCCAGGAATCATCCAACAGCAGCATCTCTTCCTATAGGCGCATCATCACCACCATCATCATCATCATCCTCGCGTGAGGGAGGAGACAGGAGGCGAGACTCAGACCTGTCTGTCGCTCTCGGGCCTGTGGACCAGCATCCCTCTCTCCCCCCCTCTCTCTCTCTCTCTCTCTCTCTCTCTCTCCATGCAGCAGTGTGTCGGATTGAACTACGCTCTCCATGACTGAGACATGCTCGCCTTCGCTTTAGTCGCTGGATCTGTGTGGGTTGTTCTAGGTGAGTGTTCCGTCTTACTGGTTTATTCTGCTGGAGAACACATCTCCGATCGCGAGACACGCCAGTGCCGCAGTGCCAGAGATGGACATTATTAAAGGCTCAGGATCTCAAATCCTGTAGTGTCTCGAAGCTTCACTGTCTCTCTCGCTCAGATCGCTATTCGAAACGCGACTCTGTTAACATCGCCTCTGGTAGATTGAGCGAGCTACGGGAAATGAAGCGGCTGCTCGCTGCAGCACGTAAGTTGCTGATCGTGATGTTTTCTGTTATACGGCATTAAACGCTGCAGATCTTATGCGACGCGTTAATATGTGAGAATGACTTTATGTGTGTGACATGTGGTGACAGGAGACAGATATGGGTCATATTTCTGTTATGTTCGTGTAAGGGCCGCATTTTATAGCACGTCCTTTAAAGCGGCTAGTTTGCCGGTGTCGTGCTTCATTGTTACGCAGAGACCGCTGACGTCACGAGCGAGCGCGCCTCCTGATTGGCGGAGCTGTCCAGCGCAGAGGTGCTGACTCCGCCCACTGCTCACTGCATTGCTTTATTACGACTTCTGCGGGCAGGGCAAAGTCTTTCTTCAGTGTGTGTTAACATCAAGCATCACTGTAGGCAGAATCTATAACGACTGGAGCTGCTGCACCTTCACAATCACATCTGGATAATTGAGTTTCACTTGAAAATACGTGCATGATGAACTGACCACTGCAGGGTATTTTACTCACACGCTTCGGGTAGCAAGTTTTGGACTTTAAATGGATCACGTTCTTTACAGTGTGGCCTTCACATCATGCATTTTTCATGGCCATGTGTTAGCGAATAGTGCCTGGACGCCGTCTAACCCGAGCCTCCAGCTGCCATGTGCTGCGTATGAATTATGCAGCGGTCCAGTGTGACGAGAGACTGAGGTGAACCTAATCTTTTACCTCGTCCTCCATAATTTAAAGATTTAGGCTTACCAACACTTTCTGTCTTCTCCATTGAAATGTGCGTATCATCATAGCTGGCCCTCAGCGACCGGTTCACAAGCCAACTTGGCATTGACTGTAAAGGGAATGTGCTGTACAGGACAAGCAAACTTTCATCATTATGAAGACATATTCAAAGAAATGAAACTGAGATATTCAGAATTAAAAAAGAGAGTTGACACAAAAATTCTATAATTTACTCTGTTCCAAACTTTGTTCCAAACCTGCATGAGTTTCTTTCTTTCACCCATTGAACACAAAGCAAGATATTCTGAAGAATGTTGGTGACTGAACAGTTGATGGGTTACAGAAGAAGAAACTCAGGTTTGGAGGAACATGAGACTGAGTAAATGATGACAGAGCTTTCTTGTTTTGGGTGAACTATCTTGGGAATCCCACAGTGTGTTGGTGAACGCTTCTGCTTTCAGATTGCTGATGTTTACAGGAACACCAGAAACACTGAGATCCTCTTTCGCCAGCAGTCATGTGTGTGTCCACACACACTTCACCACCAGAGGTTTCACAGTGCGCTGAATGGGGAAAACTGATGTTCATGAGTGTGTGAAGGGCTCAAATGATGCTTAGTGAGCAGAAGAAAGTGCTGAGTGAGCACAGGACTGGTGACACTGGTGACACTGGGGAGACTGGGGAGACTGGTGACACTGGGGAGACTGGTCACACTGATGACACTGGGGAGACTGGTGACACTGGGGAGACTGGGGACACTGGTGACACTGGTGACACTGGGGAGACTGGGGAGACTGGTGACACTGGGGAGACTGGTCACACTGATGACACGGGAGACTGGTGACACTGGGGAGACTGGGGACACTGGGGAGACTGGTGACACTGGGGAGACTGGTGACACTGGGGAGACTGGTCACACTGATGACACTGGGGAGACTGGTGACACTGGGGAGACTGGGGAGACTGGGGACACTGGGGAGACTGGTGACACTGGGGAGACTGGTGACACTGGGGAGACTGGTCACACTGATGACACTGGGGAGACTGGTGACACTGGGGAGACTGGGGAGACTGGGGACACTGGGGAGACTGGTGACACTGGGGAGACTGGGGAGACTGGGGACACTGGGGAGACTGGGGAGACTGGTGACACTGGGGAGACTGGTGACACTGGGGAGACTGGTCACACTGGTGACACTGGGGAGACTGGGGAGACTGGTGACACTGGGGAGACTGGTGACACTGGGGAGACTGGGGACACTGCTGACACTGGGGACACTGGTGACACTGGGGAGACTGGTCAGGTCATGTGTGATGCTGGACACACTGGTGAGACTGGTGAGACTGGTCAGGTCATGTGTGAAACTGGAGACACTGGTGACACTGGGTAGCCTGGGGAGACTGGTCAGGTCATGTGTGATGCTGGAGACACTAGTGACACTGGGTAGCGTGGGTAGCCTGGGGAGACTGGGGACACTGGGGACACTGGGGAGACTGGGGACACTGGGGAGACTAGGGACACTGGGGACACTGGTGACACTGGGGACACTGGGGAGACTGGGGAGATTGGTGACACTGGGGACACTGGGGAGACTGGTGACACTGGGGAGACTGGGGACACTGGTGCTACTGGGGACACTGGGGAGACTGGTGACACTGGGGACACTGGGGACACTGGGGAGACTGGTCAGGTCATGTGTGATGCTAGAGACACTGGTGACACTGGGGACACTGGTGACACTGGTGAGACTGGGGACACTGGTGACACTGGTGAGACTGGGGACACTGGGGACACTGGTGACACTGGGGACACTGGGGAGACTGGTCAGGTCATGTGTGATGCTGGAGACACTGGTGACACTGGGGAGACTGGTGACACTGGGGAGACTGGTCAGGTCATGTGTGATGCTGGAGACACTGGTGACACTGGGGAGACTGGGGAGACTGGTCAGGTCATGTGTTATGCTGGAGACACTGGGGAGACTGGGGAGACTGGTCAGGTCATGTGTTATGCTGGAGACACTGGGGACACTGGGGAGACTGGGGAGACTGGTCAGGTCATGTGTGATGCTGGGGACACTGGTCTTGTGTTGGATATTATCTGTTTCTCTCGTCTGTAGAGCTTTATACAGCACTGATTCACTGTAGGGATTCTGGGGGGCAGAAATATAAAGGATGTTGACTTGCTTCACTGAAAGTTTCTGAAACACTGAAACCAATGTTTAAAGACATTCAGTTCAGATGAAATCTTTTTATTTCTGAGTTTTGATCTCCAAACTCTTGTACAGTGTTGTTTCAAAGCAGCTTCAGATTCAGCATATTCTCATCTGAGAGTTTCCTTGCAGTCAAATCAATAATGCAGCATTTCTGAATATTATTTGTGTTTTAAACGGCGCTGTGACTTCACAATGTGTTTCATCTTTGTTCAAGTAGAAGAATAAATATAACCGAATCCACCTGAGGTTACACATCTTTCACCGGTCAGGCAGAAATAGTGTTTTGATATTGATACAGATGATATAGATAATATAGCTGTGTTCCCCTGCGCTTGCTCTAAACATGTATCTGTGAATGTGTTATTTATATGTCAGTCAGTGTGTGTGTGTGTGTGTGTGTGTGAGAGCTGTAAGCTAAGCCTGCGTATCATGTAGTCAAGGGTAGATGGAGGAGGAGAGAGAGGGAGAGGGAGGGGCGAGAGACATGCATCTGCTGAGGGTGGTGTGATACGGTGGCCACGGAGGCTCACAGCAGACTGATGCGTTTCGCTTTCCCTGCCTGTGTGTGTGTGTGTGTGTGTGTGTGTGTGTGTCTGTGGGCGCGGGAGCTGATCACAGGTAGACTAATACCAACCTACACACACACACACACACACACACACACACACACACACACACACACACACACACACACACACACACACACACACACACACACACACACACACACACACACACACTCAAACATTTATGTCTAAACATAAGATTTATGTATTTGAATTGCACATAACATTTTCATCCATTTGGATTGCATAGTTTTAACATAAACAAATTAATAAACGGAATGTGATTCATATTTGTCAGTCATACATAAATGAAAGAGGTTAGATTTATGTAATAGTAACAGCAAAACGCCCATGTTAAATTAACACTGCTCGTTGTTCATATGTGTGCACACCACAGAGTTAAAGTACCACTGAAGCAGTGTTGAAGTTAATGAGATATTTAAGTGATGATTGCGCATTAATGATGAACACCTGCTGTTAACAAGCAGAATCACTGAAGAACAGAGAAACACAAGAACTACAGCTGACTTCAGCCACAGCCTAAGGGGGCTTTCACACTGGGCTGGTTAGCTGCGGTCCGAGCCGAGCGCGTTTGCTCCCGGCGCCCCTGAATACATCACAATAAGCTAAAACGCATGCGCAGGTCACTTTACTTCCTGAACAAGTGCGCACCCGAGTCCGTGCTGCTTTCACATTCACGCGAGCCGCGGCACGGTTCGGGAGCAGCCGAACTCAGACCACCTCCTCCAGGCAGACTCGGGTTCGGGACCCCAGTGCGCATCAGGTCCCATGACAGCGTTCACATTAGCGATGTTTCATGCGAACCGTGCCCCGTTCCCAACTACACTGCCCGTGTGAAAGCCCCCTAGATGAAACCAACTGAAGATAAAAGAAGACATTAAATCTCTCAAGATCTCAGCAGAGGATTAAACAACTCCACAAACAGCGTTACCAGCTTCACTTACTAAACAGGTTTTTATGTTTAACTTTATTTATGAAATAATAGTTTCATTTGAAGTCACCATGATGGTGGTCAGTGTTTGCTTTTTTTTTGGACACACACACACACACACACACACACACACACACACACACACACACACACACACACACACACACACACACACACACACACACACATAAAGACACACACACACACACACACACACACATAAAGACACACACACACACACACACACACTCACACACACTCTCTCTCACACACACTCACTCACACACACACACACACACACACACACACACACAAACACACACACACA